TGATGTAATCAAAAAGAATCCTTCCAGCGGGGCGACGACTGAATGTTTTTGGACTTTTTTTTATGGACAGGAACGTGGATGTAAATTGTTTCTACGACAACAAAAGAATGTTGACAAACAAACAAACAAACAAACGACGGATCCAAGCGAGAGGTGGTCGATGTGGGCGTTGACTTATTTTTGCTGCTGAATTAAAGATGAAGTCAGTGTCGCTGTTCAAACTAACCAATCAAAATGTACCAAATGTTGAAGGCGGGAGACGCACGGGGCGAACGTTACGAGGCAACAAAGACGGGCGGCGTTCAGAGAATCACGTTCAGAGAATCACGTTCAGAGAATCACGTTCACAGAATCACGTTCACAGAATCACGTTCAGAGAATCAGAGAATCACGTTCAGAGAATCACGTTCAGAGAATCACGTTCAGAGAATCACGTTCAGAGAATCAGAGAATCACGTTCAGAGAATCACGTTCAGAGAATCACGTTCAGAGAATCACGTTCAGAGAATCACGTTCAGAGAATCACGTTCAGAGAATCACGTTCACAGAATCACGTTCAGAGAATCACGTTCACAGAATCACGTTCACAGAATCACGTTCAGAGAATCACGTTCACAGAATCACGTTCAGAGAATCACGTTCAGAGAATCACGTTCAGAGAATCACGTTCACAGAATCGTTTTCACCTCAGACGTCATTTTGTCAGATTTTCTTTGTTTTTTTGTCTTTCTGCTCCGTGGTTGTCGGTGAAGTTTCCCGTCTTGTTGCCTCTTCACGTCCTCGGTGTGTCTCAGCCGTGCAGTACTGTAACATATGTAGAGGTCGAGATCTGTTGAAATGTGTCAAATCAGCTGGTGAAGCTGAACTGTATAATCCAGAGCCTCACGTCCACAAGAGTCAGAACGACCTCGCTCGCTTTGATTCAGACTGAAGTCTTCAACACGTTAACTGAACACTAATCCACGCAGACTCACACCTAGAAGATTTACGCCGTGATTTTACTCGTAGTGCAAATCCTCCGACTGCGTGTTCCTGCCAAAAGTGAAAGAAAGTGACGATGTGTTTAACTCGCCGTCTGGAGGACATTTTTGTTTTTCACTGCGATGGCTGCGTTCAGCTTCTCTCGCCATGACGAGTCAAAACATCTGCTGTGGGGAAAAAACCCAGTTTAATGCTTTACTGAACGCTTAAAGGACAACTCATTTCAATCAGTCATACGTATTTCAAATAATATTTCAAATCTCTTTTAGATTTGAAGAATCGTCATTTATTTAAAAAAAACATTCCCGTAAATTCCTGCAAAACTTTGTAAAAATCTGAAAACATCTGTAAGAAAATCAGACTTAACTCTGAAATCTGCTTTTGAACGTTTTCTACTTATTCACTTTTTTATGAGATTTCTGATCTATTCAATTAACTTAGATCTACATGAATGTACAAAAACACCCAAAACATCTCCTTAAACTTTATTTTTAGATGATTCTATTTCTCAAATGTTGAAATCTAAATACCAAAAATCACAAAATTGAATCTAAATGTAGAATTTTAAAGGGTTCATCTGCAGTATTTTTACTCTAAAAACACTTTTGTTTATGTTTTTTTAGGGCTTCAAATAAATAATAGTCGTCTTTACAAATTATTTTTTCAGATTTTTTTGTGTAAAATCTCAGAAAAATTCAAAAACTTTAAATTTGGGCTTTTTTTTCACATATTCCTCAAACTAACTCCTCCTGGCACCCAAAGTGAATCAACATTGCAGCTCTATTTAATTATTTGTCTTTTTACATACAAAAAAGAAAAGCAATCTCATAAGTTTGTCCTTTCTGTGCTTCCGTAGTTACCTTACAGTCTCGTGTTATTCTCCAATGGGTCACTCCTCAGCCTCTAAAATATTAAATAAAATATTTATAAATAATATAAAACAACTCCCTTTAGATATTAATCCGATAAGCTGTTGTTGCCAGGCAACACTTCCAGCCAATAAGCAGACATTCGGGTGATGTTTCCCCCGGCAACAAGTGGTATTTCAGTCTGAGCTCTTCAGTCTTTTCTTTTTCTTCTCTTTTCCGGAGACGCTGACCTTTGCAGGTGTGAGGCTCTGATGACCTTTGCAGGTGTGAGGCTCTGATGACCTTTGCAGGTGTGAGGCTCTGATGACCTTTGCAGGTGTGAGGCTCTGATGACCTTTGCAGGTGTGAGGCTCTGATGACGTCATCGTGTAAAATAATGTAAATACAAAGAGGATGTAAATATTGAGCTTTTTATAAGAAGATATTGTGAATGTCTGAGCGGAGAGAGAGATGAAAAGAGATGAATAAAGATGAGTTTTATAAAATATTGAGTGTTTTGACTTTTTCAATATGAAACGTTTTATCAACGCATGGAGCGTGTGACATAACCACGAGGTTGTCGGCGCCACGATGACGACTTTAACAAGTGAATGAAAAGCTGGATGAACTGCAGGTAAGAAAACCATCAGGAGTCTGTCTGAATGTAAATCAGACTGCAGAAATACAGAAACTCATGAGGAGGTTGCTATGGTAACCGCGCCGAAGGGGGGAACCAAACTTCCCCAGCGTCAGGCCCATAAAAATACCTGCAAGCACACGCACGTCAGTATCCTCGGGGAAGAAAAGATGCAAGGTGGGAAAAGTTCAAGAAACTCTGTGACGAATAATCCAAATTATAAAAATACTTTATTATACAAAAGTCGAAAACTGAAGAAATTACTGAAATCTAAAAGTACCAAAGCTGCATAGAAATACTCAAGTACAAACTTATAAGTGTTACACTCCACCCAAAGGAGGCGCTGTGGGGCAAACAACAGCCAATTAAAATTGTGTGTGTGTGTGTGTGTGTGTGGCAAGGCACTGAAAACTACCTCTCATCTAGTACCCATGAGGCTTTGCAGCTAGTTGACAGCACAATAGTAAGGGCCATCACACACACACACACACACACACACACACACACACACACACACACACACACACACACACACACACACACACACACACACACACACACACACACACACACACACACACACACACACACACACACACACACACACACACACACACACACACACACACACACACACACACACACACACACACAAATAATTGCAGAAAAGGACAAATCTACGATAATTTAGCAATTTCTATTTCCCCTGAACCAAATATTGTTTGAGATTTGAGAGCGACCAATCACATCAGCACCCGACCGGCACGCCTGATGCTCTGCTACTGGGGTTTACCATCAAATCATCCATCTATCTGTCTATCTGGCTCCCTCTAGTGGCCAGGCTGTGTAAGTGAGATATACAGCAGCTCATGATGAAACCTCTGAGACTCAGAGAGGTGGAGATAGATTTGTGTTTTCAAAAGCATCTCCAATATTGATCCTAGTTTGAGCACGTTTCTGCTCGTGGAGCTTATTAGAAACATGCAGAGGCTTTTTAGGTCGGGTACAATCACTTCTACCTGAACCACTTCTCTTGACCGCTTCCATCGCTGCAACACCTGTTGACCTGATAACTGCTCTCATATCTGACAAACCGAGGGGTGTCCAAAACGGCCGTGTGGGGGGTCTTAAAAGCGCCTACCTTCTCTGGTCCAAACAAATCCAGAGCATTCAGGAGCAGAATCTAAAGTTAGAAGGAGGACATACTGGCTGCTGCATTGTAGTCAGAGAAGCCAGCACTTCAACATAGCATGTTTCCTTAATGATCAGAGAGTAAGATACCTTTATCATCTCACTCTCTACACAGCTCACTGATTGGTCCTTTAAACTGAGTTTGTGTTTTGACTTCTTTCTGGGACTTGCGTAATCAAAGAGGGATTACTGTCCAGCAGATCAGGTCTTTAGAGGAGGTCAGTTTGTTTGGTTTTTACAGCATGTATTTCATATCTTTAAATGTGTTTGGAGTAAAGATCAGCAGCTTTATTTTAAAAATTCAACATTTTATTTAAAAAAAACATCACATTTAATAAACTTTAATGATGAGCAGCGTCACACTGATCCGTCCTGTCATCATGAATCTGCATCCTGTCAGATCAGTCTCTTTTTCTTTTTTTTATATTCCAAAGCTCAGGTGGTCTCTCTCTCTCTCTCTCTCTCTCTCTCTCTCTCTCTCGTGTCATTCCAGATCACCTGATGGTGCGGTACATCATGAAGTCGACCGTGGTGCATCGTGGGAACTTCCCGATGGAGCTCTCCTCCACGGGTGTGTAGACTTTGATCTGACGCATGTGTGTGTCACGGCCGTTCTGGTGGTTGGCGAGCACAGCGATCTGGATCATGAAGGTGCTGATCGGCTCGTTTGTGCGCTGAGAACACACACAAATACACACTGCGGTCATTTTTTTTACAGATTTATTCACGACTTTCTGCCACAAAATACAACAATTAACCCTCAGGCATCAGATTCATTTAAGACCCTCTGAAGTCACTCAGGACAAAAATGTCCACTTACAAAAAACTGATATAAAAATAGAACAGATTGATATTTTTTTCTACTTTTTTTGCATAAATCTCTTAAACAACTTCAGCCCTGCTCAAAACTACCAAACATTGAATAATTATCAGGAATTTAACCCTTTAAATGCCAGTTTGATTACATGATTCTGGCATCTGATTGATCTATTAAAAAAATAAAATGTGCATTCCAAAATGAACAGAGACAAAATGATGACCAGATGAAGAGGAAACATTTGACCAAATGAACAAAAATGTCCATAATGATGCATGAGGGTTAAAAAAAACTGTAAATCAAATTCACTACCTGGTTAAATAAAATCAGTCAGGATGAGATTTCTGTGATTTCTTCATCTGACTGAATCACCACGGAAGTCCTCATCTGAATTCAAAAATCTGGTATCGTGTCGACTCTTTAAGAACATTTCTAAAGAGAAATAAAGTTTCAAACCTGATTCAACAGAGAGATGTGAATCCATCCACTCGGCTCCACCATCTCCAGCTGCTGCAGAGAGGAAGAGGAGGAAGAGGAGGAGGAGGAAGAAGAGGAAGAGGAGGAGGAGGAGGAGGAGGAAGAGGAGGAGGAAGAAGAGGAAGAGAACGAGCAGGAAGAGGAGGAGGAGGAGGAAGAAGAAGAGGAGGAGAAGGAGGAAGAGGAGGAGGGTTTCAGTCATTTTAAAACTCTGATTATCGTCAGTCTGATATAACATGGTGATGATGAGTTACTGACGATGAGTTACTGACGATGAGTTACTGACGATGAGTTACTGATGATGAGTTACTGACGATGAGTTACTGACGATGAGTTACTGACGATGAGTTACTGATGATGAGTTACTGACGATGAGTTACTGATGACGATGAGTTACTGACGATGAGTTACTGATGATGAGTTACTGATGACGATGAGTTACTGACGATGAGTTACTGACGATGAGTTACTGATGACAATGAGTTACTGACGATGAGTTACTGATGATGAGTTACTGACGATGAGTTACTGATGACGAGTTACTGATGACGATGAGTTACTGATGATGAGTTACTGACGATGAGTTACTGACGATGAGTTACTGATGATGAGTTACTGACGATGAGTTACTGACGATGAGTTACTGACGATGAGTTACTGATGACGATGAGTTACTGACGATGAGTTACTGATGATGAGTTACTGATGACGATGAGTTACTGACGATGAGTTACTGACGATGAGTTACTGATGATGAGTTACTGACGATGAGTTACTGACGATGAGTTACTGATGATGAGTTACTGACGATGAGTTACTGACGATGAGTTACTGACGATGAGTTACTGATGACAATGAGTTACTGACGATGAGTTACTGATGATGAGTTACTGACGATGAGTTACTGACGATGAGTTACTGATGACGATGAGTTACTGATGACGATGAGTTACTGATGACGATGAGTTACTGATGATGATGAGTTACTGACGATGAGTTACTGACGATGAGTTACTGATGATGAGTTACTGATGATGAGTTACTGATGATGAGTTACTGATGACGATGAGTTACTGATGATGAGTTACTGATGATGAGTTACTGACGATGAGTTACTGATGATGATGAGTTACTGACGATGAGTTACTGACGATGAGTTACTGATGATGAGTTACTGATGATGAGTTACTGATGATGATGAGTTACTGATGATGAGTTACTGATGATGAGTTACTGACGATGAGTTACTGATGATGATGAGTTACTGACGATGAGTTACTGACGATGAGTTACTGACGATGAGTTACTGATGATGAGTTACTGATGATGAGTTACTGATGATGAGTTACTGACGATGAGTTACTGATGACGATAAGTTACTGATGACGATGAGTTACTGACGATGAGTTACTGATGATGAGTTACTGATGATGAGTTACTGATGACGATGAGTTACTGATGACGATGAGTTACTGACGATGAGTTACTGATGACGATAAGTTACTGATGACGATGAGTTACTGACGATGAGTTACTGATGATGAGTTACTGATGATGAGTTACTGACGATGAGTTACTGATGACGATGAGTTACTGATGATGAGTTACTGACGATGAGTTACTGACGATGAGTTACTGATGATGAGTTACTGACGATGAGTTACTGACGATGAGTTACTGATGACGATGAGTTACTGACGATGAGTTACTGATGATGAGTTACTGATGACGATGAGTTACTGACGATGAGTTACTGATGATGAGTTACTGATGATGAGTTACTGATGACGATGAGTTACTGATGACGATGAGTTACTGACGATGAGTTACTGACGATGAGTTACTGATGACGATGAGTTACTGACGATGAGTTACTGACGATGAGTTACTGATGATGAGTTACTGATGACGATGAGTTACTGATGACGATGAGTTACTGATGATGATGAGTTACTGACGATGAGTTACTGACGATGAGTTACTGACGATGAGTTACTGACGATGAGTTACTGATGACGATGAGTTACTGACGATGAGTTACTGATGATGATGAGTTACTGACGATGAGTTACTGACGATGAGTTACTGACGATGAGTTACTGACGATGAGTTACTGATGACGATGAGTTACTGATGATGAGTTACTGACGATGAGTTACTGACGATGAGTTACTGATGATGAGTTACTGACGATGAGTTACTGACGATGAGTTACTGATGACGATGAGTTACTGACGATGAGTTACTGACGATGAGTTACTGATGACGATGAGTTACTGACGATGAGTTACTGATGATGAGTTACTGACGATGAGTTACTGACGATGAGTTACTGATGATGAGTTACTGACGATGAGTTACTGACGATGAGTTACTGATGACGATGAGTTACTGACGATGAGTTACTGATGATGAGTTACTGACGATGAGTTACTGACGATGAGTTACTGATGATGAGTTACTGATGATGAGTTACTGATGACGATGAGTTACTGATGACGATGAGTTACTGACGATGAGTTACTGACGATGAGTTACTGATGATGAGTTACTGATGATGAGTTACTGATGACGATGAGTTACTGATGACGATGAGTTACTGATGATGATGAGTTACTGACGATGAGTTACTGACGATGAGTTACTGACGATGAGTTACTGACGATGAGTTACTGATGACGATGAGTTACTGACGATGAGTTACTGATGATGATGAGTTACTGACGATGAGTTACTGATGATGATGAGTTACTGACGATGAGTTACTGACGATGAGTTACTGATGACGATGAGTTACTGACGATGAGTTACTGATGATGATGAGTTACTGACGATGAGTTACTGATGATGATGAGTTACTGACGATGAGTTACTGACGATGAGTTACTGATGACGATGAGTTACTGACGATGAGTTACTGATGATGATGAGTTACTGATGACGATGAGTTACTGACGATGAGTTACTGATGATGAGTTACTGACGATGAGTTACTGATGATGAGTTACTGATGACGATGAGTTACTGACGATGAGTTACTGATGATGAGTTACTGATGATGAGTTACTGATGACGATGAGTTACTGATGACGATGAGTTACTGACGATGAGTTACTGACGATGAGTTACTGATGACGATGAGTTACTGACGATGAGTTACTGACGATGAGTTACTGATGATGAGTTACTGATGACGATGAGTTACTGATGACGATGAGTTACTGATGATGATGAGTTACTGACGATGAGTTACTGACGATGAGTTACTGACGATGAGTTACTGATGACGATGAGTTACTGACGATGAGTTACTGATGATGATGAGTTACTGACGATGAGTTACTGACGATGAGTTACTGACGATGAGTTACTGATGATGAGTTACTGACGATGAGTTACTGACGATGAGTTACTGATGACGATGAGTTACTGACGATGAGTTACTGATGATGAGTTACTGACGATGAGTTACCCGGATCTCCTGTAAGTTGTGGAAGTTGTTGCCCACTCTGACGGAGATCTTACTCGGCGTGTAGCTCTCGTCTGACTTGTAATCAGCATAAATACACAACATCTTCACCGTGGTTCTCCTCCTGAAGAAAAACAGAAACAGATGATTAAAGAGCGGAACAGGAAACAGGAAACAAGAAACAGGAAACAGGACGTCAGCAGGAGCATATTAATAAGAAATGAAAACATGAACTACACATATTGATGAACACCTGAACTGAATGTTGACTAAATGAGGCTGAGATCCGTCTGACTGCCAGTACGTCTCCAGGTTGTCGTCTCTCAGCTGATCCACTCCGAAACCTGGACCCGGGTCGAGACACACAGAGGTCATCAGACGGGACTCTGTACAAACTCAACAGACGTTTTGATTTTCATTATTTTTCGGGGGGTCTGACCTGGTTTACAGGAGGAGAGCGACCACACAGCCTGGGAGCCGATCTCTCTAACGGTCCCTGTCCGCTCCAGCTGCTTCGGGTCGGCGCCCGGCGGGGTCTTGCTTGGTGTAGCCATCCTTAAGAAACAGAATGAAACAGAAAACACAAAGTTAGGTGATCAGAAGAGAGAAACATCAAACCAAACCTCCTTTTCTTTTCTACACATTTAAATTCCTTCCATTAAGATATAAATGAATAATATGATCTGAAGCTCTCGTGTTGATAAATGTCATCATTAAAGATATTCGGCTTATAAATGACACATGTTGATATAAACTATCTTCTCACCAAACTGCCTTTAAGTTTATAACATTTTAAACTTTAATAGGATATAAAAAGCTGTAATTAAATGGTAGAATCTAAACTAATGTCTCATGTGAATGTAAATCCTTTAGGGGGATAATCGGCTCATAAATGACACCAGCAGCTTCAAGGTGTTTGGATAAAAGTTGAATTATGTGTTAAAGTTGTGGTTCATATTTCTGAGGTTTCAGACTGATGTGTTAAAAAAGGGAAACTCAGGGATTAAAGGAGCAATTCATCATTTAAAATGAGTAAAAAACGGAATATTAGGTTCCCACAATTAGTCTTAAATCGTGTATTTAAACAGATTTAACGTCATTAAACTAAATAAAATGAGAAACACGGTAAACGGAGTTAGCTGCTAAAAGCTAACATTTATATATTTACCCCCTGCAGAGCTCCTGAAAACATCTGTAACTTAACTTAAAGGTTTAAATGGTTAAAACTTACTGCGATGTCGATTTAAGTTGCCTTAATGTTGAAAGAAGCTGTTTGTAGTTTATATCTGCTTTGTTTTGAAACTCCCTCTTCTCCACTGTTACTGAGTCGCATCTTTAGTGACGTCATGAAAACCCGTCGCACGTCGCTTGCGTCCCTCCCGCCATCTTTCCAGCCGGCGTCCAGGAGAGGAACACGTTGCTGGGGGGAGAAAAAAAGAAGTTTCACCCTGAAATATTTGTGTGTAAACGTCGTTTCTTGGTTGTTTTCATTCGAGGCGAGTTTAAGGAGCCGACTAGGGGTGAGTGTCGATCGTAACGCTTCTTATTTTTGTTCTTTTTCTGCCGGTTTGTGTCGCTTTAAAAACGAGTCACCGAGCAGCTGTCAAAGTGCGTGGCCTCCGCTGCTAAGCTAACTGGTAGCTAACTGCAGGTAGCCTCGAGAGCGTCACAGGTGGGCTTCAGCTTCAGGTGAGCGTTTTATATCAACAATGTGAGGACACATGTGGAGCTGGTTGATCGTTTCACGGCTCAGGTTGAAACACAGCTGCTGGTACAGGCCGGAAACATGACGTTTTCTCACTTAGCCAAAAGACGCAGCTCCGGATTCCGTTTAGAAATTCCGTAATTAAAAGTTTTTTCGCTTTAAAACATAAAAATCAGCACTGAAGGTCCCAGGATGAGATGTGTTGTGAGTGTTTATGATTGTCGGGTTAATTCGGCGTAACAATGAGTCACGGATCTGGAGGTTATCTGAGGACAAATCCAACTTTAGTGCTCGACACCGCCCGTCACGTTGCGCAGCTACGTGAGGATAAAATCCAGAGAATTACAGATGAATCTTCATGTTTAATCTTAATGTTTCAGCCGATGTTGTAGCTGTATTTCAGGTGTAAAAGCCAACACAAACATTGAGGGAAAAACAGCTTTTTAATCTCGTCGTATCAGGTTTAAAGGTTCAGCTTTGGTGCGACAATAAAAGGGCAGAGTTTTAAATGGAGTCTGGTGTGACTCTGTCTCACTACAAAGGACTGCAAAGCGCTTACTGGACTGGTTTACAGCTTCAGTTCATCCTCCTGAGGCCTGCAGTGGAAACCCTTTAAAGCAGGATGAACATTTCAATCCAGAAAACATGAAACTTGTTTTACAATCAGAAAACACAAAAGAGAAGAGAAGTGACATCATGATTCTACAATTCACTGAGCAGACTCTTTTCTCCAAAGCGACGTACATCAGAGAGTAAGAACAACACAAGCAAGGATCTAGAAAAAAGGGAACAATGTGAGTAAGAGCAAACGATCAGCTTTGAGTCTGATTGGACACACAGGTGCTGACAGGAAGTGACCAGAGGCAAAGCACAACATTGAGGGCAGTTCTTGAGAGCTCTAATCAGTATAGAAACCATCTTATAAGTCGTCGTTATCAAACAAAAACCATCGTCATTACCATCATCATCATCAATAATATGGAGACCATCATCATTAAGTTAGTAGGTATTCATGAAAGAGCTGGGTCTTTAGCTTTTTCTTAAAGGTGCAGATGGACTCTGCAGACTGAGCTACTGCCGCCCATATATGATATGATAAAACTTTGGCTCCAAGTGTTTACTAACTTTCTGTAACCTTCCAAATCAAATGCCCGTTAGTCTTCAAAACCTGACCTTGGTTGCATATCCACAGCCGACCTGCCACCTGACTTTGAAGAGGCCGAGTGTAACCGTACGGCGGTTTGGATGCTGCGTCGGCTACTTAAACACGAGAAATCAAAACCGCCTTTGTTTTCTTTCGCTGATTACGCCGATGTCCCAGTTTTTACTTTACTACATCTAAAGCAGTGAGCCGAGTGCAAAGGATGATGGTTACTTTTTTTCAAACTGTCTCAGGGCCACAACGGTATCGAGACACTTTGGTTCTTGTGATATCGTTAAATAGACGATGTGTTACATCCCTGCTGCTCGCTGTTTAAGTGAAAGACTTTCTGTTTTATGTTAATGATGAACGAGATGGTTCAGCAGAGACGACGAGATGTCAAAGTTTCACTCCTGATTGTCCCCGTCCCCCCCCCCGTCCCCCCAACGCCTCGCTCACCTTTGTTTCTTAGCTCCACAGGTGCTAGCGTCCGTCATTCCAGCTCTCCACCATGGCGGATAAAAACACCAGGATCGCCATCGTCAACCACGACAAATGCAAACCTAAGAATGTCGTCAGGAGTGCAAGAAGAGCTGCCCGGTGGTGCGCATGGGTGAGTGGACGAGAACACAGAAGAATGATCAGACGGAAACGTTTTATTAGAAAGAGAAACTGAACGTGTGTGTTTGCAGGTAAGCTGTGTATCGAGGTGACTCCTCAGAGTAAGATCGTGTGGATCTCAGAGTCTCTGTGTATAGGCTGCGGCATCTGCATCAAGGTAAACCTGACCACAGATTAAAGACTCACCACATGATGAAGGAGAAACGTTTCTACAGGACGACGTGTTTCTCTGGTCGACACCTCGATGTCCTCTGACGATGGTTTTTTGTTTTTGTAGAAATGTCCGTTCGGCGCGTTGTCGATCGTCAACCTGCCCAGCAACCTGGAGAAGGAGACCACACACAGATACTGCGCCAACTCCTTCAAACTGCACCGGTACGATGCTGAGACTCTTTTTTTATTCATGAAGATCGTTGAGAATGACCTCCAGAGAGTGAGAACACTTTGTGATGATGTCATGAGGACGGAAAAGAGTTCAAGTCACATAAACACTCCGTATGTCGACACTCTGGGGAAACAGTGCAAACATTATTTGTAGTCTTAATGCTTTGAGGTTATCTCTGTGAGGGGGGGTCGTGACATACTGGGAGGGGGGTCGTGACGTACTGGGAGG